TTTCAAGGAAATTTTCTCATAAAATGTGTTTTGGAGACTCAATCCACTCAGAATATTTCATTATTTGTAATATTTCACTTAAATAGCAAGAAATTTTAACACATGAGAGAACTCACAAGGTCAAAGGTGCATGTACAGCTTCCCATATTAGGTGTAATACCACCATTGATTTTCCCCTATTAGTCTTTGTTAAATTTGCACTTTTCAAAAAATTGTGCAGAATTCATCTTTGTTTCAAATAAAGAAATACTTGGCATGAGTAAAGTTTTATCCTGTCCAGTACTATAGAAAAAATTTCACATAACATTTCATTGCATATAAGAAAATAACCATCACTGGAAGTTAACCAATCAAATGTTCCCCCTTTTTTAACCTGTGTACAAGCTTTAGTAACCATGTAACCTCAAGTATCCAAAATATTCTATAGAAACCCCAAATAAAAAAATAATGGTGCTTTGAAATACCCAAGATATATGTTTATGACCCAGAAATGTTTTACTGCAATGAAATGTAAGATCAATTACCTACAACTGTCAAATTCAAGGGAATATTTTTTTTCGACCTATTTTCGTATGCAACCGGATGTGACGTACTATGATTTGGTGGTATTACACCTAAAGAAGACTTTTTTGTTAAATAAACAGAATGTGACTTCTTTCCTTTGTAATACTGGTTATTTCAAGCATTCCTGTCAAGTTTTGTCATAATCAGTTCAATAGTTTAAGAAAAATCTAGTATAATGTAAGACGACATCTCAAGCGATTCGAGCAAAGTTTCTTCGAAAAATCCAAACCAAGCCGCATCATGATAGAATATAATGTGGACCAATAAATGATCAAATAGTTATCTCATCTGCCTACAAACAGTTGAATATGATACAAATGATGACTTTAGGATGATAAATACTACTAATGGACCTCTTTGTCTTCCTTATAAGGTCTCTTTTGGTCCATTTATATCTCTCATTTCCTCAAAATTTCTACTTTTTAGGCCAATAAATAAAAAATTTGGGGTAACTTTCACTCATTTATGATAGAAATGTTATAATAATTGATTAATTGAAGTATTCAAGCTGAATGAACTATCTGTATAAAAGTTTACTGTCTCCAAGGAGGTTTCAATAAGTCCTTACGTAAAACTTAAATTTACGCCGCGTTCCAGAGAGGGACACACAAAGCTTCTCTTTTGGTGAATAATTTGTTGTTACTGCTTTAAAAATACTTTCATTTACTTAAAACTATATATCTATTAAAGTATTTCTTAGGAAAATTTTTCTAGTAAAGCAGAATATGAGAAATAAGGAGAAAAAGCTCCCCAAAACTCTAAGTATGGCTTGATCTGTCAACTAATATTCATGGTAAAGTCCTATTTCAAGGAAATTTTCTCATAAAATGTGTTTTGGAGACTCAATCCACTCAGAATATTTCATTATTTGTAATATTTCACTTAAATAGCAAGAAATTTTAACACATGAGAGAACTCACAAGGTCAAAGGTGCATGTACAGCTTCCCATATTAGGTGTAATACCACCATTGATTTTCCCCTATTAGTCTTTGTTAAATTTGCACTTTTCAAAAAATTGTGCAGAATTCATCTTTGTTTCAAATAAAGAAATACTTGGCATGAGTAAAGTTTTATCCTGTCCAGTACTATAGAAAAAATTTCACATAACATTTCATTGCATATAAGAAAATAACCATCACTGGAAGTTAACCAATCAAATGTTCCCCCTTTTTTAACCTGTGTACAAGCTTTAGTAACCATGTAACCTCAAGTATCCAAAATATTCTATAGAAACCCCAAATAAAAAAATAATGGTGCTTTGAAATACCCAAGATATATGTTTATGACCCAGAAATGTTTTACTGCAATGAAATGTAAGATCAATTACCTACAACTGTCAAATTCAAGGGAATATTTTTTTTCGACCTATTTTCGTATGCAACCGGATGTGACGTACTATGATTTGGTGGTATTACACCTAAAGAAGACTTTTTTGTTAAATAAACAGAATGTGACTTCTTTCCTTTGTAATACTGGTTATTTCAAGCATTCCTGTCAAGTTTTGTCATAATCAGTTCAATAGTTTAAGAAAAATCTAGTATAATGTAAGACGACATCTCAAGCGATTCGAGCAAAGTTTCTTCGAAAAATCCAAACCAAGCCGCATCATGATAGAATATAATGTGGACCAATAAATGATCAAATAGTTATCTCATCTGCCTACAAACAGTTGAATATGATACAAATGATGACTTTAGGATGATAAATACTACTAATGGACCTCTTTGTCTTCCTTATAAGGTCTCTTTTGGTCCATTTATATCTCTCATTTCCTCAAAATTTCTACTTTTTAGGCCAATAAATAAAAAATTTGGGGTAACTTTCACTCATTTATGATAGAAATGTTATAATAATTGATTAATTGAAGTATTCAAGCTGAATGAACTATCTGTATAAAAGTTTACTGTCTCCAAGGAGGTTTCAATAAGTCCTTACGTAAAACTTAAATTTACGCCGCGTTCCAGAGAGGGACACACAAAGCTTCTCTTTTGGTGAATAATTTGTTGTTACTGCTTTAAAAATACTTTCATTTACTTAAAACTATATATCTATTAAAGTATTTCTTAGGAAAATTTTTCTAGTAAAGCAGAATATGAGAAATAAGGAGAAAAAGCTCCCCAAAACTCTAAGTATGGCTTGATCTGTCAACTAATATTCATGGTAAAGTCCTATTTCAAGGAAATTTTCTCATAAAATGTGTTTTGGAGACTCAATCCACTCAGAATATTTCATTATTTGTAATATTTCACTTAAATAGCAAGAAATTTTAACACATGAGAGAACTCACAAGGTCAAAGGTGCATGTACAGCTTCCCATATTAGGTGTAATACCACCATTGATTTTCCCCTATTAGTCTTTGTTAAATTTGCACTTTTCAAAAAATTGTGCAGAATTCATCTTTGTTTCAAATAAAGAAATACTTGGCATGAGTAAAGTTTTATCCTGTCCAGTACTATAGAAAAAATTTCACATAACATTTCATTGCATATAAGAAAATAACCATCACTGGAAGTTAACCAATCAAATGTTCCCCCTTTTTTAACCTGTGTACAAGCTTTAGTAACCATGTAACCTCAAGTATCCAAAATATTCTATAGAAACCCCAAATAAAAAAATAATGGTGCTTTGAAATACCCAAGATATATGTTTATGACCCAGAAATGTTTTACTGCAATGAAATGTAAGATCAATTACCTACAACTGTCAAATTCAAGGGAATATTTTTTTTCGACCTATTTTCGTATGCAACCGGATGTGACGTACTATGATTTGGTGGTATTACACCTAAAGAAGACTTTTTTGTTAAATAAACAGAATGTGACTTCTTTCCTTTGTAATACTGGTTATTTCAAGCATTCCTGTCAAGTTTTGTCATAATCAGTTCAATAGTTTAAGAAAAATCTAGTATAATGTAAGACGACATCTCAAGCGATTCGAGCAAAGTTTCTTCGAAAAATCCAAACCAAGCCGCATCATGATAGAATATAATGTGGACCAATAAATGATCAAATAGTTATCTCATCTGCCTACAAACAGTTGAATATGATACAAATGATGACTTTAGGATGATAAATACTACTAATGGACCTCTTTGTCTTCCTTATAAGGTCTCTTTTGGTCCATTTATATCTCTCATTTCCTCAAAATTTCTACTTTTTAGGCCAATAAATAAAAAATTTGGGGTAACTTTCACTCATTTATGATAGAAATGTTATAATAATTGATTAATTGAAGTATTCAAGCTGAATGAACTATCTGTATAAAAGTTTACTGTCTCCAAGGAGGTTTCAATAAGTCCTTACGTAAAACTTAAATTTACGCCGCGTTCCAGAGAGGGACACACAAAGCTTCTCTTTTGGTGAATAATTTGTTGTTACTGCTTTAAAAATACTTTCATTTACTTAAAACTATATATCTATTAAAGTATTTCTTAGGAAAATTTTTCTAGTAAAGCAGAATATGAGAAATAAGGAGAAAAAGCTCCCCAAAACTCTAAGTATGGCTTGATCTGTCAACTAATATTCATGGTAAAGTCCTATTTCAAGGAAATTTTCTCATAAAATGTGTTTTGGAGACTCAATCCACTCAGAATATTTCATTATTTGTAATATTTCACTTAAATAGCAAGAAATTTTAACACATGAGAGAACTCACAAGGTCAAAGGTGCATGTACAGCTTCCCATATTAGGTGTAATACCACCATTGATTTTCCCCTATTAGTCTTTGTTAAATTTGCACTTTTCAAAAAATTGTGCAGAATTCATCTTTGTTTCAAATAAAGAAATACTTGGCATGAGTAAAGTTTTATCCTGTCCAGTACTATAGAAAAAATTTCACATAACATTTCATTGCATATAAGAAAATAACCATCACTGGAAGTTAACCAATCAAATGTTCCCCCTTTTTTAACCTGTGTACAAGCTTTAGTAACCATGTAACCTCAAGTATCCAAAATATTCTATAGAAACCCCAAATAAAAAAATAATGGTGCTTTGAAATACCCAAGATATATGTTTATGACCCAGAAATGTTTTACTGCAATGAAATGTAAGATCAATTACCTACAACTGTCAAATTCAAGGGAATATTTTTTTTCGACCTATTTTCGTATGCAACCGGATGTGACGTACTATGATTTGGTGGTATTACACCTTAAGTCTTGCATGTAGCAGAGCCTTATCAGTATAATACCTTATAAAAATGCGGATATGTGCTATGATTGCAAATGAGACAACTATCTGGATAAGGATGTGAATATTTTATACAGGTCACCTCACGGCCATCAGCAATGAACCAAACTCATAACGTATAGCATTAAAGCTACAAAAGGACCCTGTTTGGCATAATGTGAAACAATTTAAAAGAGAAAAAAAACTATGTTAAAACAAGGAACTAAACACAAAAATGGAAAACTAGTTATGTATAAATACATATCATAAATAAAACTTTATTCACATATGTGTATCATAAATAAAACAAGTTTGGTAAGTATCAAGCATACTGGATCATTGCATACACAATTTTGGTTCAACAGTCATTGCATATATGAAGAACTCATCATTAATATTAAATTGTAGCAAACTAATTCTACACAACGCTTCTTATAATAGTCCAGAAAATACAGTTTAGTTGACATTCAAATGTACAGTTCATATCCAATCTGTAGATATTCTTAACATGCCGACTGTTAATACCAGCAGAACTCGATATCGAGGGAAATATACGTTGTAAACACTATAATCAAAACTTAATAGGTCAATACTTTTGTAACCTCCAAAATGACGATCTTTTTTTACATTAGTAACACAATTTTAAATCTGTTGATTCCTACTGTAATCTGAGATTAGAAGCAAGTGTAAAAATTTATGCAGATGGTTTAGTTCCTCCTCCTCCTCCTCCTCCGCCTTTACCTTCTACAATCATCAACACCCCAGCAACAATTTCTAGCACAAGGGCGACAATCGATAGAGCAAATGAATAACCCAACTTATAGTCTATAGTGACATTTTCTGGCCACTTGTCCACTTTGGCACCAAAAATTATAACGCCGATCAAATAAAATACCCCTGAAATGAAAAGTAATGGTTTATTAAGAAATTGTTCATCTGAAGTTCCATTTAAAGTTTTATAACATTTATTAATAAATCAGTTTTATTTTAATAGTATTTATAACAAGTACTCTACGTATCTGAATTTCGATGTTTATTGAATGACAACAGAGAATATCAAACTTTTCTTCAAATAATGTTTCTGAATTGTCTAAATAAAACGGTCTCACGACGTGGCAAAAATTGTAAGGTTCCGTTCACATATACACGAATTTTTCGAGTTTGACAATTGCATATCACCGTCATGACAACCTTGAACTTTCCTAAATCTGACGGTCAGTATTTGAGTGATCACACTCCTGATTTTTACCCGATTTTCTTAAATTCTAGTCATGGTTTGTTCGATGTAATTAAACTCTTAAGACCATCTCAGTTGATAGACTTCTAACAATTTCAACCTGTGGGCATTGTTTTCACTCGAGCTAAAACCCACGACGGGAAAGTAACCGTGATAGATTGTCCATCTTCTATAGAAAGCCAAACTATGTTTAGTATTAAACTCATTGGGAGTCATATTATTGGTTTTATCGTATGAATTGTTACATTTTGTCATGCCAGGGTCTTTTGACTTTAAACATGTTCTTTACGGGATTTTCTATCTCTTCTTCTGACTGATACGAGATGTTACCTGTTGGTTGATTAAGAAATTCCGCCAAAAGGGAAAATATGGCAGTGGCAGTCCTTGTTTTTGTGCGTTGAGAATTTGGCTTTGATTTCGGCGGCAGCGTGTGACTAAGCAAGTAACAGCCATTATATATCTTCGCTAACCACGTTACACAAACACCAGTCAACACCTGAACAATAATTAAAATAAGTTATATTGAAAGATAAATACCTGTAGCGATGCAGATAATAGCAACTGCAATGGCAACTTCTCCATTCTTCTGACATTTGCTAACAAATATGTACAGTATAACTAAGAAAAAGGAAACTAAAATGCCGAAAAATCCAAAAGTGACAAATGCCTGAACTACACCATACCAATCTGAAACAGATAAAACATAATTAGTATGAATATTAATACTGTTTTTCTTCTATATGCAGACTTAAAGGGTACATATTGATAGGCTATGGTTATTTGATGAGAAAATATAACTGAATTTTTTATTTGGTGCTCCGTTCCAAAAAAAAAAACGTAGTAAATTTTGAAGCGTAGATATGATTTAATCAGACAGCTTTTGGTTTTTCAGTATGAAAAAATAATCGTTTTTTAAATTTTGAGTGATTAATGAAATTAGTGAAACTAAGATATTCATTCTTTGATTCTAAATTTACCTTTACAGTTAAGCAATTGAAAATAATACAATGTGGTTATTATCCAGATGCTTCCAATTCTGATAAAAAAAACCGAATACGATCCTCCAACTCACCGTTCGCAAAGCCGTCTATAGTTTGACATCCCGTCGGAATATCTGTTTCTCCACATATTCTCCATAATCCATAATGAGTATTTCCTACATCCTCATAAACCCAATCAGCTGTCGTATAGGAAATGCATGTAAATAAAGTAGCAATTAACAATAAAATAAAAGCTACTTTGCACAAAATAGATGCTCCCTTAAAATCATCAACCACTCCCATTTTTTATAAATGACCGAGTTGCTCCCGAACTGCAGATTATAGATTGACACTGTTGATGGCATCATTTTAGTTTTATAAATGTTTGTCGTCAAAACAAATACTTCCACAGCAAAAAACTTTATTATCAATGCGTTGTTAACCAATTTATTTTAAAGACGAGTGGAATCCATCCTTGCTTGACAACATACCGTTATTGAGTCTGCGTATTGGATGTTAGTACATTATCTGATTTGCATGATTGTGTCGGTAATACAGAACTTTCAAGATGATAGATTTTAAAATTTTATATTCATATTTTTGTTTCAATAGTCAACGCCTACTTAAATTGATAAAGGTTTAAAACTTTTGATAAAACATTTGATTCAGTTAAAAGTGTGATTTAGGTTAAAATTGATTAACATTTATGACTCTGTACATTCGCACTGACATTAACATCAAATTAGATCAAAATGACTAGAGAATGCTTATTTACATGATATTTATTCAATTTTGTGCTCCTTTTGTTAGTTCTTTTAATGATTTTAAAGAGGAGAAGAATGTACTTAAACTAGTTAAATCCCTCTACATATTCATGTGCCTGTCTCAAGTCACATCTAAATGGTTTGGTTACTAAGAGAATTCGTGTTAATGGTAGAATAAGATGGTGTATTTCAATTTTTTTCTTCATTCAAGATACGAGTTATTTTTATTATTGTACTGTTTTTATGGAGATTTTACGTCTTCATTCTGATCAGACTTGTATTTATGCATCCCATACAGCAAAATGGACACATTGTCCAATGATACCACTTGAAACTTATAAACAATAATTTTTCTTTATTCTTTTAAACTACATGCATGGAATGTAACAAATTTAAGGGGGAAAAGAAGTCCGAGAAGCTCAAAATAGGTCAAAGTGAATATATATTATAAGCTACAAATATTTTGTGATTAATTTGATACGGAATCTATCTTTTAATGAAAGTAACAAGAAAACTGAAATTTGATCGAATATTATCAAAAAATGTAGGTTTAGGCAATCCAATTATTTAAAATTCATACGTGTTGTGTGCCAGATAGGTCTGTAAGGTTATTACCATGCTCACGTTAAGAAAACCTTGAAACAACTCACCAATCATCCCGGTCGACTTACTTTTCAAAACTTATCTATTGTATTAATGGTTCATTTGTCCTCGACTAGAATGTGTATGAAATAGTTGTCATTAGACGTTAAGCAAGCACAATCAATCATGAAAAGAAGCAAATCAGTAATCTCTGTACTTGAAACATTTGCAATATTCTTTTGTAATGAAATCACTTCATAATCTTTTTTGTACAATTTTCGTTTGATTACGGAATACAAAAGCACACGAGAAGAAGAAAAATGCACCCAAAATGACAGCTCAACTTGACTTTTTATCACGTAATTAGGGCCAATTTCGCCTTAATCTATTTCACGCCTATTCAGTCTTTACTTGAATTCCTATTGTCATAGCTCCATGCGTGTACTTTACGGTTTTAAAAAATATTATGGATTATTTCTAAACAGAAGGGCAAAACGCAAAAAAAGATAGGACAAACCCCCATTTTTACAGATTTTGGCAAATTTAAGTATTTATCACCAAAAAGGATAAGAAGGACATCCTTATCCAAAATCAAAATTCTGTTGAAAGTAAAGGTGCATGATATTTTCTTTCGAATACAAATTGTTTCATTCTGGTTAGCGATGTCCTTCGATGGAAATTTTACAAAAGACTATAAAGTATATATAGTGCTGAATAACTGATTATAGTGAATTCATAAAAATATGCCCTTTTCTTCTTTTAATATCTATATAATAGTTTTTTTCTGAAGCATGCAATGATCGATAATGCAGATAATGTAATATCTTTCTGAATGACATATTTTTGATAGGCAACTTTTTTTCATTAACAAGTGCATTCAAGGTAAGATTCACACCATGAATGAAAATGCCGTTTTAGTGAAATTTATTTATTTTTGTCATATCTTTCTTATAATTATTATTAACTACAAAAAATTCAAAACATGACTGATTCCACCTCGTTGCCCCTAGTTGACTCTGTTAACCTTGTATAGTCGTTAAAAAATGTGGAATAAAAGTAATTTCGCTGTGAAAGTGACTTCAATGAGGTTCATTATGCATGACAAAGATTATTGGAACTAAAGTTACAAGGTTATATGTCAAAAGAATACTAAATAACATTTCACGCATTATTTACCAAACAAAAAAAAAGATGAAAACAACACGTTATAAATTTCATGCGTCCGAAAGCGCTTAGGTCAAAATATCAAGTTTACAGATTGATTTTTTTAAAAGTTTTTCAATTTAGATTTTAGAATACTAACTCCGAGCAACATGCCACAATAATCCCTTGTGAAATAAGAAAGAACTATTAATTTGTCAAACATGTTTTTGTATCTGCGACCAGTTCAGCATTCCCCTGTTGCAATAGTTTACACCCCAATCGAATACACTCAAGTTGAAAAGGGGAAATTCTCCTGCACGAGTTGATAAAGTGTGAGGGAAATCATCATACTTCTATGACGAAGTCTTCTGCCACGAGTAGATGATTTTGAGTCCGATAGTCATACTTTCAAAATAAAACTTCATACTGTAACCTGCAGTTGATATTAACTTAAAAGCTTAGAATCGGTATAGAAGAACATGTTATTCCAATTATGGGACCCAAATGGCATACACATCTGACATGACATAACATCAATATTCGAGATTAAAACAATCAAATGACATTCAATAAAATCGAGCTCAAGATATTAATACGCAATGCCAGTGTGGCTGATATCAGGTTAAGTGAGATGACTTCGTCTTTATAGCGGAATGTGAAGTTAAAGGATAATGCTAGGTATTGTTCATTCTTCCTGAGAAGCTCCCGTATGAAGTCAGCACTCGTATAAATAAAGGAATAAGTCGACAAGAAGAGGAGCACTTTACCAATGGGAGGCGATTGTTTGTTAACAAAAATGTCCTCCAAACGTAACAAATAAGTTGTCAATCGAGAAATCAAGCATCTTGATAATGTCAGTTTCAGAGTATTTTTGGTTTGAAACAGAGTGTTTTTTATTACAAAGTACGATTCATCCTCCCTAATACAAGATACGTGCACCTACGTTATGTTAGTTTGGGTTGGGGGTTATAGTTTTTTCCTAAAAAAATATTCTGATCCTTAATTTGATGAAAAAAAATATTGTGGTCTAGCAGATGACAAAAAAAATATTCTGAATCCAGATTTTCCCCATACCTTAAAGTGTTAAATTTGGAAAAAAATAATTTGATTGATAGCGTTGAAAAACTTTAAAAAATAATCACGCTTCGCGCGAAAAAAAAATCCGACTCAGACAAAAACACATAAGTTTAAAAGTTGTATAAAGTTCTAAGGGGAGCAACTCTGAAAAAACTAAATGATACAGAACTTTATATAGGGGTTGTAATACATTGTACTAAATATAAAATGCATTGCAAGACGGCAACCTGTTAGTATCTGTATCTGTATCTGTATTTTCTATCTTCTGCCAATCTAGGCACACCTCCACAATAGGAGTAAAAGGCAACTATCCACCAGTATATTAAAACGGTCCACACAGTAAAATTATTTACAGTTCTATCACCAATCCTTCACCAATAAGATAAAATGTCAAGGTTTTTTTACACTAAAATGTTTTTATCTGCTATAAAATCTAAATGTCAACTTAGCAGAATGTCTCTTATCTACTATAACAAAACTCAGAATCGCGGGGATTTTGATATCTATAAGTATAATTTAAGGGAAACTTGACAGTACCAAGATGCGATCAGTCCCTATCAAGGAATGTTATTTAACAGTTCTTGGCTTCTTTGTGAGGTTTAGTAGTTGGTATCTACTCGCATGTAGCTTATAGCACAAGCTTCTACATAATGGTTCTAGTTCGGTATCAATGTCTGATATGAGAGCTTCAGAATTCAGCTGTGTGCAGTAAAAATATGGGTTGACTATATTTGTTGAAATATCAAGTGGCGTCTACTTTATGTCTTGCAAACAGCATACTACCAATGCTTATTATTTCTAAAATGAGAGGTTTTTATATGCACTTTAGTTCTTCAAATATCAACAGGAAATGATTTATAGTTTCTTTATTCTTTTTGTACATCAAGCAGGTACCATCTGGTGTAGTTTTGTTGAATACAGCTCTTTTCGCCTGTAGAATGTATGTTCCAGTTAGGATTTTTAGTCGGACTGGTATTCTAGATACGTTTCTTATATTGACTGATAAGGTTCTTGCTATTGGGTGACATTTACCTACAGTATATAATTCTCCAATGTATTTTAAAGATGTGAAAATTGTGGTTTCTTGTTTAATCCGGTTTGACCAATAGTTACTGACTTTCTGTTTCACTAAAATTTTCCTTTGCATTTTAGACATATTTGTATCGAAAAGGAACATGCACGAATCACCAATTTCATATTTCAAGAATATGGCTTTGATAGCAAAAAAACCAAGGCAACTGTTACTTTTAATGCATTTAATTCCTAATTGTCTTTCTGCAATTTTCCATTCAGTGGAGATGAATCCAGCTCTGCATATACTTCCAAATAAGATAAGTGCCTTTCTGTGTATGACTGCTTCAGCGGGTAGTAAGCCAGATATTACGTAAATTGCTGGATCATCTACATTGACGGATAAAGAGAGGATCTGCTTGATTATTCTTTTATACTATTTTGATATTAATTCTAGATTTTTTCCAGTAGGCAGTAAAATTTCTAAACCATAAAACATATTTGGAAATATAAATGTTTGTAGCATACTTATTGCGGACACTGGGTCTAGACCATTTTCTCCATGTAATCCTGTATGCATCAGACTATACAATGATCTTCTGGCTTTCTTAAGATTTTCTTCTATAGTACTTCCAGCTGAGTCAGAATATCTCTTTATATACCAATGCGAGATGTTTTGGTAACAATAGTCATGGGTTTGTTGTTCATTGACCAAGTATCTTCTGCAAATGTTACTTTGTTATTGGGTTTAACTGGTAAAATACCACTTTCTGGTTGGATCAGATGTCCTTCACGTTGGCTGTAGTCAAATGCCATATTTATTAGGACTTGTACGTCAAATGGGTTATTTCCCACTATTGCTATGTCGTCTGCACAGGTGGGGGCACAGCAACTTATCGAACCGATCTTACCACCAAGTTTAGATTCTACGAAATTGTTCAAAAGCTGGTTTACATAAACTTTGTA